ATGACCTAGCGATGTCCATTCGGTTGATGGCGAAATTTTTTCTCAGCCCAGCTTGCAAGCAAAGCAGCTGCCAATCATCCGTCTTTCGCTTATGTGACCTGTTTTTAAAAGCGCTACAACCACACAACGTGATAATTGCGCCACCGAGGGAAGATGTCCATTCGGTTGATGGCGAAATTTTTTCTCAGCCCAGCTTGGCAGACAAGCAGCTGCCAATCATCCGTCTTTCGCTTATGTGACCTGTTTTTAAAAGCGCTACAACCACACAACGTGATAATTGCGCGACGCCACCGAGGGATAAAGCAGGCAACACCCGAATACTACAGCGTACGTGAAGTGTCCCTCCCCCCGGTTTATGGGACCCAAACGTATTACTTAAAAAATAGATATTTACAAAGTCTCAACAAGAATGGTACAAAATAATCACTCTAATGTAGCCAACAGGCTATCCGCACGCGCTTTGGCCTCGGCATACTCTTCGGAATCTACGTTGTACAGCGGGTTGCGACACTGTTCCAATTTAAGCTCTTCCTCGTTCATCGGCTCCAAGCTAACAACGAAGTCAAACCGAGTGACAACGTCACGAATGAATGCCAAGCGTTCCGATAGCTGTTTCCAACGTTCATCAGGACTGATCTTTACGTTTTTCTCTGTCACCTTCGAATTCTCATCTTCCTCTTCATCATCTGTTTCGTCGTCACTTTCTTCGGGCTTCGTAGGTTTTTGGATGGGATGGCAACCGCAAATTTCATCTCGAATGAAAGATTCCACATCCAAACTGGGTCGTGTGTAACCTAACTCGACAAGAACTGCCAGTGCAAACTGGCTTGGGTGCACTGTGAGGCACAGATCTGTTTGATACCACAAACTGATTAAATCAACGCCTTCACGATGTAACTCCTGTGCCATGGCTTTCTCGTCTGGGCACCAGTCAAACGCTGAATTCGAACTCAATGCATGGATATGTTTCTACAGATAAAAAGAGCCAAAAAGAAAGACCGAGAGTAAATAAAGAGATATGAGTAATTTTTGGGTAGAATCAAGCAAGTATTTCATGATGGCAGAAAACACACCATTCCGTTGTGGTACCCCTTGCAAAGGCTAGTTCACACAGTGTCAAAATTGCAGGTCTACCAACTCCAGTTTGAAACCTATTTTGTCCTAGCTTCACCAGGCATCAACCTTGACAAGGTATTAATCACTAAGGGACCTCCTGGGGCCTGGAAGTTATTAAACACAGTAGGAGGCGCCATAACAGCGCTTTGGGAAACAACTGGTTCGTTTCGTATGTTCCAGATCGCAGTTGACGAGAAGTGACTGACATCAAAAGTGCCCGGAGAGAGTAAGGAGTGTGCTCTGAACGGCGCTGGTTCGACTAACCAACTTGACTGGCGACTACTTATCGTGCACATTTGTTTCACCAACCAAATACATCGAATATCAGCATTTACCCTTTTTCAGAATAAAAGAGAATCCACGGAGAAATAGAATTCCTATAGCCTAGAAATAATAACAATAAATAAATAATTGTTCAGCTGTAGCACCTTTTCAGAACCGAACTTCCATGCCACCCGAGGGAAGCACGAAGGCTGGCATACCGCCAGGTTGCCCAAGCCTAGACAGGGGAGGTCGAGAGGCAGATGTCGGATTGGAACCACGGACCTTCCAGTCAATAAATTCGCGCTCTAACCACTGAGCCAACCTGCCCATAAAAGATGAATGGTTCGCGGAAATTTAAAACAAAGCACCGTATCTCGGAAGAGGTATTGGAGATCAAGCTAAGGACTTTCCTCTAAACTGTGAACATCCAGAAGTTGGCGTCAATAAACAAATGTGAACTGCATGTCCGGCACAGATTCGAGGGAGCTGTAGAAAGACGAACAAGACAACAGGGAGAAAAGCGGTTCTATGTGATTTCCTCTAATGTGAACGATGCGTAAACTTCGCTTGTTTTTTAGTTTGTCACCGTCTAGGCAAGTCAGTTCTGTTTTCCAATATCACGTGATAATGTAAAAATGATCATAACCGAGCTTAAGTTCTGTCTTTGGACAAATTGTTGTTTTAATCGCAGTTCCATCGACATATCCCCGACAGAAACACCAGATCAGAACACTGGTAACTCACTGCAATACAACCGTGCCAATCTACTTCAAGAAAGCCTTGAAAAAGAAACAAGGAAGAAATGGGACAGGGAGGATGACCTAGGGTTGAACTACAACATCCGATATGTGTACAACTCTAACACTCAAGCAGACTATCTGGATAGAAAAGGACGGTCCAAAAAGGGAAAATTTTGGCTTTCAAACTCTTCCACGAGGGAAAGTTAACAACTACCTAACTGAAGAATGCCGATGCATGTACTAAACCACGCCAACTACACCGATGAGTGGAAACACTCAGGAAGACCAACCTGGTATGCCAACAAATCGATTATGAGGCCCATCAGTGGTCGGTAGGGGGTGAAAACCCACAGGTCATAGTTTAACGACTCCAGCAGAAAGAGTTCTGAGTTGATGATGAAACTACTGTATCGCTCCTGGTTACGTGGAATGTGCGCTATGAATGCCTGCAATCCGATTGGGAAATCGGCGGCCTTGCAAGCCACATACAGGCAAGTTAACATCATCTCGCGCGGATAGAAATCCATGACAGAGTGTCGAAGATAGAAGCGCTTGAGGTAGGTGGCAGCGAATCCGTAAACCTGTACCAAAAGACAATATAAGATGAAAGGAAGACGGTAGTTGGGCAGGAAGATGCCCAAGGTGCTACATGTAATAACGAGTAACAATGACCAGTAAACAGGCAGCAAACAAAAAAGAGAAACATCGGACAATCTTATGTGAAAACCCGGAAGGTAACCCTTAGTTATGTCTCTGAATCACAACACGATAAGCTGGCATCCGTTTTTCACAAACAGGCAAACACGAATGGGTTGTCAGCAAGAAGCAAGCGATGACTGTGCGTGCGCTCCACAGGAGAATAGCTGTTCCGTTCGAATACAAACGCCCAAACTGGAAAAATTGGCAAATCTGAAGCTATTGCTAAACAGTTCACGCTGAAGACAGCTTCTAACTGACTGCTAAAGCAGGTTACCGATCAGCCCGAAGGCAGCTAACGACCAAAGTGGACTGAAGTTTCCTGGAAACACAACTTAGGCTTGCCTCTATAGTTCCTTCTCAACATACATAGCAGCGGACTAGAGAACTCATCTGGACGAAGATTGGAACTTTGCCAGATCCATGGCTTTTTGTTGAATCGCTAGTTCAAAGTCGCCACTTTCATATCATTTTCTGCGATAGCCACTCAGATAAACATTGTCTTATGCGACCAGGTCGTCCACTGAAAAATGATCGCACTTTTAGCAAAAATCGGCAAGGAACCAGGAAGGATTTATCGCAAGAATTGTTAAGCGTTCAGCTGCTGTTCAGCTGAAGCACCCTTTCGGTGGCTAACTGCCATGCCACCCGAAGGTTGCACTGGGACACTGCTAGGTCGCCCAAGCCTAGACAGGGGAAGTCGAGTGGCAGAGGTCAGGTTCCAACCACGGACCTTCCGGTCAGTAAATTCGCGCTCTAACCACTTGGGCCATCTCGCCCAAGCATTGATAAGTGAACGGCGTAAGCTCCCTCTGTTAACACCAGAAAAAACACCCAACTGCGTCAGTTTCCTATACCTGTCTACCTGGAAAAAAGTGAGGGGTATATTGACATGAAGGGGTATGATCACTAGTCTGATAATTTGGAATAATGGCTTTTCAAGCTCGATTAGTCTGGAGGTATCTCGGTTCGAACCAGCGTATTACGGATAAAAAAAATCGGCTTTTTCAATGCACCTTTGAATGCCTCAGCATATTTTTCCCCATAAACAAGAATCTCGTTCATCTGTACACCAAAAATAACAGCAATCGATGGTAGGCATCACATGAAGGGACCAGTAACCGGGGTCAGGTAATCTTGTTTTTTCTTGAGGTTCGAATCCCTCATCGCTGCCGTTCAGAGAGGACATCAATATACGCACAGTTTCCGTTTCACTGTAAACAGTCACCACAAACTTGATCCCATATTGATCCGTTTTACTAAAGGAAAAAACTTTTACCAGCCAACACTGTGCCTTCAACAACATAAGTAGTTCATATTTTCAAGATATATGAGGTCAACAGATAGTTCTGTGGTTCACTCCAATATCTTCAAAAACAATCTCAGCATATTTTTTGGAAGAGGACCAGAGGCGGTCAAACAATGACTTGGCAGCGAAGTATAAAAGCCATTACCAGCAAACTCAGTTACGTTGATCACTGCCATCTTCCCGGATGGGGACCCCGAGACGGGCCACATCGATGGCTAGAGACATTGTCAAACATGGCCCAGTCGCGCCCCCAATGGTGCTCGTGCATCCAAGCTATTGCCTTCAACGCACAGCTCCTTTTCCAAAACCCCCCCCCCACACTTGATAGCCCACTGACAGTGCTGGATTTATGCACTAATTTATCAGCTCCGCCTGCAATGCGCAGCTACCTACCCTTCCTCCCAAATCATCGGTGAACGAAACTTCGGCAGCTACAACCACTGTACGACGAGTACGCCGTTATTACAGCTGACAATGATGATGATATTTTTTGGAGGAATTCCTCCCTAGATCAGATAAATTAACCCTTTCGATCTACAGAAGTGCTCCCAACAGACTGTTCCAATAAAGATCCGTAAAAACTTCGAGAATGACTGGAAATTGGTCCGCCATAATACAGACCCAGCCCGATAAACCGTGATCAATGAAGAATTTTTATGCATCAATCATGGACACAGTGAATGGAATGAATGACCCAGAGCGGATTTCAGACTGGTTATGTTGTTTTTATGATGGGATGGAATCGACTTGCCAAAGTTATTACGCACGCCCACCTGAAACAGAAACATCCACTACCGTCTCAGTTTATAGGACGCATGGATGATTCAGCTTGCATTAGCCGTCCCAGTAATCTCTTTGGTGGAGTCAGTCGTCCGAATATCCATTCGGCTACGGCTTTGTGCAATGAATGGGGCAGCCCAGCAGTTATAGGGTGAAACTAACCATGACATTGCGGTGAAGGTTAGGGGTTTGTGCTCAGAGCAACTGCAAACTAACAAGACAATAAAGCCAGTGCGTTTGTTGTAGCAGCATGTTTTATTGCCATAATGCCCTTCTGCCCCAGGGACGGACGAAAACAACGATGAAGTCTATAATAAGATAATCGTTCAGTTGTAACACCCTTTCCGTGCCTAGCTGCATTGCCACCCTAAGGGAGCATGAGAGCGAGTATACTGTTAGGTCGCCCGAGCCTAGACAGGGGAAGTCGAGAGTTTGAAACTGCATCGCTCAGGGGCAAATAACATGCCTTCATGATAACCAAGCCACTGGTCCAATATAGACAGATGAAATTTGATATCAGACCGGTCAATATCTTGTCAGAAAGATGAACTATTGACATGCAAAAATTAGGAATACCCAAAAAAGTACAAGGCTGTGTCAACGGAAGGGCCTCATGAAAGATAAATCACAGACTGCGTCTGTAAAATTAATTCCAGTGTACCCCAAAGTGTAGTCAATACCCATGGAGAGTACTAACCTCGTTAGGAACTCGCGGGTTCGTGAACTTGTCAAACAGCGCTTTCATCAAATAAATGTAGTGTTTGACAATACTGAACTCTTCGTCCGGATCAAGACCCAGTTGCTGATCCTCTCCATCGTCTATCAGTACCGCCTCAGCTCTGTTTGCCGGTGGCAATTGTTTGAGTCGTTTCCGGGCGTTCGCATTGCATTCTTGGCGCTGCTGAGTCAAATCGGAAGGTGTGAAATGCCAATTGTACAACTGTGTGCTAGTCGCATAAGCCTGTAAGAAACAGAGACACGCGGGGATCAGCGCCTGGACACCCGGTGATACCAACCGGACAAACATTTAGGCGCTCCCTTGACAACGATAGAAAGGTTGCTAGAACTCCTTGGAAGTATTCTATACTTAACCGACACTACTATTCTCCTTTGAAGTCTGGGTCGTAGTTTTAATATCGCACTTGCAGAAAAAGGGGCGAATCTATTTATCAGTTACTATATATCACTGGTTTCGAGAGCGCGAGATATCATATGAACTGTTTTAAGGAGCGTGGCAAAGACTGAGAACGCAGCTTGGCAGAACCCCTGAACCGCCAAAGTAGTCAATTTGATATAAAATTCCCCTCTCTTGGTGCCGTCCAACTTTATACCAGCTCACCGCTTTTCAAGGCCACAATGCCTAATGTCCGCATGCAAAGCTTGCATTCTGTTGGCAAAAGGACCCAGTAACAATGTATACATTCTGTGGAGTTGTAGCTACGACAAATCGGTGAAAAACTGACGTCGCAGCAACAGTTTAAACTTGAAGTTATGCGCATATGAAATTGATCGGTAGGCTTTTTCATGTCCGTGGCACTGTAAAAACAACCTGGAATTCGGTACATTGTGCCGTAAAAACCGTGAGAACTTTAACTCTAAGCTAAGGTATAACGCCTCCACGCCCAAAATATGGGAACTATGCGGTGACCGAACTTTAACACAACTGCTAAGCCCATGCCACTTTCCGAAAAAAAAACAGTTCGTGATGTGTGCTGTTCGTCACAGTTCCGTCAGTTCCTTAAATAAGTCCATACCTACACTACTCGTCTCTCAAAAGTCGAACACTGCTAGAACACATCCGTGTTACTACGAGCAAGCGATATCAATAGCAGGTGACCCATCTTGGCATCATTGCTGCAGAAATAAACCAAACACAAGCTAATCTAGTTTGACCCAATAAAGGCGACGTTTGTGGAAACACAACCAAGGAGAATAGATCCTGTACACCTAAATGTCCTGAATGCTAAAGATCTATTGTAGGAAGATAATACAGAGAATCGTGTTCATGGAACCCAATTAAAAAGTGTAGTGATTAGGGATTTTAACGAAACCGAGGCATCGTCCCACACAACACGACCAAATCAGCTATCTAATGAGCTCGTACAACTCGCCAAACTAAGTCAAGGTTAGAGGCGATCCTGCAGTTCAGGAGCAAGTACATTCAAAGATTGGCATATGGAGTCACTTTGTCAAAAGAACACCCGTACAGCTTTCGCTTTAGGCATTTAAACCAACAGGTGATTTTGAAACGACCAACTACCAACCGCACTGCCAAGTACAAACATGTTCGTCTATTCCGTGCGATAATTTAAGTGCGCCCATGGTTGGCTTGTTAAGTAGTCGGGAGTCTGGGCTCCAAATCCCGGTACTTCTAAACAAATAGACTGTTGGCAGGCCCTAAGAAGAGCGAAACTCAGGTAGTGCTTTGCGCTTTCGTACTAGTTTGTCACAGTGATTGAGTCAGGAACTGGACTATTGTCAAAACAAAAGTGCTGTGGATATGAACACCGAAAAACAATCAGGACGTTTGTTCCAAGATATATATATATATATATGATTTTAAAAATGGCGCCACATGCATCGGATGCAGACTTTTACCTGATGACACTCGACGAACTAGATTTGTTTTGCCTGCATTGCAGTTTACGCATTAGTTGCTCTTGTCGTAGTGCGTTCGAAACTAAGAACAGTATGCAGCTAAGGACTCGAACAGCAAGCACGTGTCCCCACCCGTAAAGATCACATGAATAAGGTAGGTAAAAGCTGTCACCAAGCAGTGCACTGTACCTACATTGGGGGTTTCCCCACCTTCTGTACTGTTTTTATTGTCTTTTGTTTGGTCCGGTGGAGTGTCCCTAATTGTAACGGGAACAATGAAGATAATACGGCAGCGAAGCATCGGTGTTAAACACTGACATCATCCTGTCGATGATGGTGAGTGACGATAATTAGTCTAAACGTAATTCAGAAACGCTCCTGGAAGCAGTGTTTCTAAATAAGTCTTCTTAATGGAGGATTTTTACCGCTTTGATTAAAACAAGAGACCACAAACTATTAGGTAATTCACGTGAGAACCTACCAATATACCAATGGACAATGCTCTACCCTCAGTATAAAATCTTCGCCACGCATGTCTTGACGCCCGTCACGCCCTGAAGTATATGGAGAGTTCAAGTTACGTAATTCTTTTGCCGCTCGCAGGGTAAACGGGAAGCTAAACCCTAAGTTCCCCGACTGCTGTAAACACGTCACCGTACCCACACATGTAGTTCGGTCAAAACTAGCCGACTGAGTATCGGTGGAGGACAAGTTGATGATCAGTATCTAGAGTACGGAGTCTTAGTTCGCAAGACAATACTACCATCTTGATAATTCTAATGGTGACAATTACGCTGAAATTAAAAATGATAAAATGGCGCATTTAAAAATTAAAGCCCTGAAAAACCTCATCCTTATAGTATGTTAACTCTAATCAGAAAGCACAACCGCATCAATTTTCTTTATATCGAATAAATTCCTTTAGTTGGAGGGACACACCAACGGTAGATTGATGAAAACTCCCCCGAATTCCCACTACCGATTTTGTCAAGTAGTTTTCATCAACTTTATATTCTACTTGAACACGGTTGGCAAATCAACCCGGTGTACGAGACTCAGCTGATGAGACTCACGAAGACCGATACTCGTAGTGGGCTGAGTCTCCAGGACCTTTATAAGTAGTGTGGTGTGTCATGAAAAAATATGCTTCGACAGTCCGTACCAACGTAGTACCACATATTATTATCATATCTATGTCTGTCAACAAGCGTACTGACATTAGGCACGCAGCATAATCACACTCCGCAAAAACGATTGGGTATTCACTAGAATCTGGAGAGGTGTGCAAGACATACAACCACTGATTTCTTTAACTTGGAGAAAACTCAATCTAGAAACTTCAGCACATGAAGTGATGTCGCTGTCTGGTAAACTGGCCTTTTATCTGCGGTTAGTGAATTCTCTGGTGTATCCGTTATAATCAGACACTAGAGAAAAACCCTAATTTTCACGGTCAAAAAATGAACGGTAACCCCAGAAGGCACGTCGCAGATTGTGTTAGCCCAGAACAAGGGACTCTTGGGTGTGGTCCTGAATATATTCCAAACAGGATATTCTCTATGACTCGTCTCGTACAAATGAAGTGAAGGCACTTAGTTGACTGAATCGCTCTGAATGTTCGCAGAGCGACCGAAGCTTTTAGGTTAAGTCAAGAACTGTATGATTGAGTTTCCCAGCAAACCACCAAAACGAGATGAAAAGACGTCTAACTACAACAAATCCTATGAAACCATGGATGAAATTCCCGTGATAACTCGCAAAAACAAGATGAATGGTAAGCAGCGAAAGTGATGAACACAAACTGTTTGCTCGGTCCAGAACAGATACATTTTCAAATTCAGGTTTATTACAAAAACCAACGGGGCAATGGAAACCGACAAGTCAAATCAAACAATGTATTTCAATCACGAGGCTGGTTGGTCCTGTTCCATCGGAGTCGGGACCACGCTAGTATCACTAGGTGGAGACTGCTCCTCTCGCTGTTTGGCCTCGAACATTTTCAAAAACTTGTCGACGCTATCGTCTTCGTAAATGGTGAAGTCGCAGGATTTCCCAACGATACCCAGGGAGCAATTCTGAAAAAAAGTGTAAAGAACGAGATCGCAGCTGAATTGTTTTGAATGAACGGTAAACAGAGTGGGAAATTCATTGGCGGAACGAAATTTTCTTAACTTGAACTCAGGAAATAGGCGAATAGTTCTGAGGTTAAACAGAACTCCTCCCGAGGAATGAGTTGAGCACGCTATGAACTCCACCCAGTGATGACCTTAGTTGTCAATTGAGTGACCGGTAGGTCGGTTACGTACACACTCAGTAATGTTGAGTGATATTGCTGCTGGTTTATCGGGGGGGGGGGGAGATGGCTCAAGTGGTTAGAGCGGGAATTTACTAATAGGAAGGTCCGTGGTTGCAACCCGACCTCCGCCTCTCGACTTCCCCTGTCTGGGCTTGGGCAACCTGGCAGTATCCCAGCCCTCGTGCTTCCTTCGGGTAGCATGGCAGCTAGGCACCGGAAGGGTGTTACAGCTGAACGACGACTTCACCCTGAATCGACACATGGGATCATATGAAGAAATTGCAATTTGGCTACACGTTTTCTTCAGTGCCCTCAAGAACCATGTGTGTAACGCTTTAATCTACCGTACTCTATTTTGATTTCCTCCAGTCTTTCAGCCTTCCAAAAAGACTAATGCACCATACTGCTTCATATTTCATGACGCTGCGTGACTGCGCTTCCCAAACAGCAAATGACTGTCCGGCAAATTTCTTCGCTTTGTTGTTCTGCCTGAACAAATCTTTTTTTTAGAAAACACGGTTTTCGTTATTCTCTGTAATTCCGTAGAATCATAGCAAGTCAATATGAGCCACGTTGACCCATATTTTAAGCCTTCAAACCGCGACAGTCGTTAACGTAAGGAACCAGATGTTGCTAGGCCATTCATGATGGTTGGACAAGACCAATGCCGTACACAATAAAGTATAGATAACTGGTAGATGAGCGACGCACATTACATCATTCCTTGGTCAACCATATTGCCAATTCATTCATATTAGCGTTCGACTTGGAGAGTCAATCAGTAAATGCTGAGAAAATCCTCCGTACAGTAATTGCTGCAAGGTGCGTCTGTCTCTCGCCAGTTCGCGCGAGCTATAGATGGGAAATACCAACCGACCATCACAAAGGGCTCTGTACCAAATGTTTGCCCTCAAAAAATATTCTTTCTCACCGTTTTCAATGGGAGCTCATCAAGCCACATGAATCATTTAAATTTTCCATTAAGTCTCGAGTTATCAGACCTGAAAGGTTCAATTCTCTTGCAAGACGACGCACTTGAAAAGCAAACAAAACCGAATCACTCAGGTAGTTTATTTTACTGTTTAACTTTTATCCCCCAAAATACTGTTCAAACGATTCGCCCTCGTTTTCCAATAAGACAGAGAGTGATAGCTGTAACCTAGTAGATTCTATGGACTAACTGAAGCATATTCTGGCGGATAGGATAGCCGCGGTCTACTCGGGTGAATGGAAAATAACAGGCTATAGTTTAAACTTTTCCACAATGATTGGCAAGATTTAAATATCGCCAGTAGCAAGTAGGGTTATTTCATCAAAAGGGTCCGAGCCTCGGATACCGTATGGCTCCGGTACACAACGGTGAACCACAGAATGTGCAAACTATTTAAGGATCCCCGGCTACGGTACAAATATTGCCTGCTCTTTTGTACGATGAATTTGGCTGTGCGCGGACGACACTCAGGTTGTCAGCCTTCCCTGAAATTGCGGGTGGACTGTCTATCCGCCGATAAACGTGCTCACATGGACTATACAGACCGTGTTCTGCCCCTCTTGAGGAACCTTTAGAGTTTCGTACAATCCTACCAGGCGGGCTTAGCACAACTGTGTGAATATGCACATCGACGGAGACCGTTATTTCACCAAGTCCTCTTTCATGATTATTGAACATTGAAACTGATAAAACAACGGTGCTGCTAGAAAGGTCCTTCGTCAGAGAAATGCAGTAAGACAATGAAACTATGGAACAATTTGTCTCATTGATTTAGTGACAAAATATGAGGTGTACAACCTCATATTCAGCCTTTATAGCGATCGATGGCAGTTCAACTGATGGTTGCACATACCATCATCACCGGTACTCACATTTATGGTACCAAAAACACTTTTCAGGCGGGAAAAGGGGTACATTGATCATTTCACTAAGGGCATGATTCTTCTTGTTTAGCTGTTGAAATTAGCTTACACTCAAACACATGACAGACTGCCGTGGAAGTTTGCTCATTAACTGAGTCGTTCAGCTGTAGCACCCCTTCGGTGCCTAGCTGTCATACCAACGGAAGGAGACAAAAGGGCTAGGAATACTGAGGTTGGTTTCAAACCACAGACCCTCCGGCCCGTGAGCTGGCGCCTTAACCACTGAGCTGTCATACTGTACTCCATATATAACCCAGCTTCTTGAAAAGAGCAGAAACATCCAAAAAGTGTAGCTGCAGGGTCTCACAGCCTCGCGTAAGTGTAAGATGTGAATTGCATCTGTCGCACGTAGAGCCGAAAGCGATGTGTCTTTCAGTTACTCATCTGTCTCTCTTTTCCAAGACTTCAATTCAAATTTAGCGGACTCAGAGATAGGGTCCCATTGCAAAAAAGAAGCTATGAAATACACACACCTTAAATGATCAAGAAATACGCGTCATAACGGAACATCTGATTATAAGCCACGGGATTACGAACCTTGGTTGTTATCTCAACTTCGTTCGGTAAGGTACCACTGAGGGCTTTCAAACCATGGTAAATCAGCTCGTCCAAAGATGCCACGCTGATCTCCTCTAGGTGTCGCTCCAAGTATGTTCTAGCCGATTGAGATCTGGAACCGATTGCAATCGCCTTGCAATCGTAAGCATTCGAAGAGGGACACTGAGAAGAACGGAGCAATAACACAAAAGTGGAACCATCAGGTGAAGTCAAAAAAGTAAATAGCAGTTTTGTAAAGGTTCTACTGGTGTTCTGATCTTCAAAGTTCAAAGCTACGGACATAGATCAACAAGAGTTTACTTTTGTTAAAGGGCCGTAATAAACAGATGATTGCAAAGAAACGTTGTGACTGGTAAAGTGCTCCACTAGCTCTTCAACCACAAAACAACCTGCATTCGGCTGAGGATACTATAAGCTCGACGAGAGGTCCACCAAAGATTGCCTGCGCTGCTTGTTTGACGTATGAGGATATAGAGACAACCTCAAAAGTGGCTAGCTTTCAAGTTTTACCTGTTATGCTTCCGGTAGCAAAAACTTAACAGTCTATTCTTAATGATGTTAAGGGATAACTGATACATCAAGGCGCTGAGAAAAATAGCAAGATGAAAAGAGTGCTTTAGTTTCCCTCCTAATCGCACACCCCATCCTTCACTGCGGACCCCAGAGAGTACCTTATTATTGACATATGCCGCCGATTGTGTGCAGCAGTGTCGCTCACCATCACCAATGCTTTTCGAATTCGCAACAGATCGGATAATGAAAAAGGCTTCGGCTGACTACGCAGTTCCACAGAACGAGCATGAATCCGCCGACTAGCTTAAATTCCACTTGCAGGGAAATTATTTTTCAATTCTACTCTTTCAAACACTCGAGTTCCGTCATCCTACAGAACGGTCAGATGAAAAGATAAATCACTGTCCGCGTGGACAAGCCTGTAAAAAGGCATCATCGTCGCAATTATCAACAGCATAACATCAGTGTTCGACTCATGATGCTCTGCTGCCGTACCACGCTGCAGTCTGACCTCTTCAGTTTGACCGTTGGCTCCTACCTTACCGACGTGGTTTCAACGTGGGATAGACTGAACGGTTGCCCAATTATTCTACCGAGCGAAGGTGCCACTACACTCGGCGGGCATCGAAAGCGATTCAAAACTGTCTTCAATGGCACGGACGCTCCCTCAGAAAATGCGCTGAGTGACGCCATCTTCCTTGGTACTGCCGCCCGGCCTCCTCATGAATTACTCCACTTCACCAACGGCCTGATATATAATGCGTGTCCACGCAGATGGCTGAGTAGCATTCGGAAAACGTGGTACAGCCACCGAAGCTTGTGCCAAGAGTCGCAGAACAAAATAGCCATAGGGCGTCGATGATTTCGATGACGTCGTCAGTTGACAGACAAAGTTCCCACCACATACTCCGTAAAAATGGATGGTTGAAAACTGAGCCATGTTGGGCATCCAAAATTGCCTCAGTTCGGTTTATCAGTTATAAACCATGTATAAAGACCAAGTCAGTTCCAGGTGCTACAGTTCCGATCATCGGGAAATGAGAGTGACGGGGTTCGGCCAAGGCAACGGCAATTAGTTCGTATTGTATGTCGCTCTGATGGAACGGGAAAATAGACAGCCATGAACTGAATGCGATGGCTTTGATGTAAGAGCGCAAATGACTGCACTGAAAGAAGCAAAGAGGCAGGAAAAGTGACCTAGGACTATGGTACCACAAACATCTTACGTACTTAGACCTCCAACAATTAGTCGAACAATCTGGATAGGAAACGGCAACATAGACGCCACTAAAGTCAGTTAGCCACCATATCGTTGAGTATTTCTGACCATAGGTCGCACACTTAGAAGATGTTTAGCCCGTGGGACTAGTGCAGCACCCAAGCCCAACCATCACGGCATGGTGGCAGGTTTCGGTCGGGCTGGACACCTTCACTCCAAGTTAGCTAGGTCTGACGACCGTACAATTAAGTTTCGAGCACGGGAGCTCTGTAAACACTGAACAATATGGTGGCTAGCCGACGTCAGTGGTTCTCATTCTACCAATTTCTATCCAAAATGTCTGACTGAGTGTAGGTGTAGGTGTAGGTAAATCGGATGTTTGCCGTAGGTTGGCAAACATTTCTCTCTTTCTTCCATTATAAGGCTCTATTCAGACAAACAGGCATACTTGCACGGCAGTGAGACGTTTTCATATAACATCGCTGTCAGTGATTATGATCACCTGTCTGGTTTGAGTCCTTTAAGCGGAGCCAATTTGACCATGTCCGTGCTGCTTGTCTTTCTCAACAGATTGCTCGATCTTCATCTTTGACAGCATCAGTGCCGATGTGTCTTGGAGCCGAATCTCAGTGAAAACAAAAAACATCAATACTCGGAGACTGAATGGCACTGGTAAACGCGGTCTGCTGAACAAGTTGCATCGTTACGTATGTTACCTTAAGTGTAACGAGGGTGAACGTGGTACGACGATCCATGATATCAGTAAAAGTGAAAGTTATGCTGCAGGTCTGTCGGCACGGAGGAAATCCGAGCCAAGAGCAGAATACCAGGCAGCTAGCAGGAATATGTGGGGTAAGAGTGGATGACTAACAATAGAATGGTTGTTACGCACGTTAGAAATTGGTGAGGAAACGTGAGCCGATGGTGTCCGGGTCACCAAAGCTTTGACTGAGCAACAGGGTGCAAAATAAGTCATCGTATAACGCTGGGGTCGCGTTCAGCGCGCACACACAGTGAACTTCAAGGCTGAAGGGATCCGTCTAGTGAGGATCGCCAGGGTACATTGATTGAGAACGGCCAAACTCACAAGGCCGCTGTCTTGTGAAGCTTGGGGCTCGCGTCTCACCGCCCTCGGATAAACATCAGTCACTCGAGGTACTCAGGGCGGCCTTTACCCAAGTGTTCGCTAATGAGTAAAAACCCCGATTTCATCATCATCATCATCATCGACAGCATGANTGGGTTGTAAGTGGTGTGTTCAGTGACTGCATATCCACAAGCATAACCATACACTTTGTGGGTGCAAAGTGCATACCAAAGGACGGGATGACTTTGGTCAGTTCATCCAAGAACACTTGCGCCGTTTTTCCTCTTCGAACATGAGAACAATGTCGTCTGCATATTCCAGATCGATAAGATTCTCTTCACAGGCTATTTGAACACCAGGGTTTTGGAGACCCTCCAGCGTTCGTCTCATTATTTCATCGATCACGAAGTTAAAAAGGAATGGAGAGAGTGGGCATCCCTGACGGACACCGCTTTGTGTACGGAAGCTTTTGGAAAACCCCGATTTCTTCATACAGTCTGCTGCTCCTTTAGAATCGGGGTTTATCCTGGTTGGTCTCCCGTAGACAGTAGTCTATCACTCCGTCCAAGGGGCCAAATACTTGCTCTTGACCTTCATTTCCATAAAGGACTCTTGTAATAAAGAGGCAGCAATATGACTTCTTCAAAAAAGACTATTTGATGTCCTGGAAGATGATTATATAAGTAGGATGGGGAGTGACACATTTTCAATTGAAATACCCCCACTGTCAAAATAAAAGTGGTTGATGCTATAGGATCACATGGGTCATCAGGGGATTCACAGGCTGTTTGGACACATTTCTCACCGGCACTTTTCTTCCCATATGCACCCGCAATCAGAGTACGGAATACCAATAACATGTCACAGGCAAAAGAGGAAGGCTTTTCTGAGAAAGTTCCAAAGATCAGCGCGAAATGCGTGAAGGCCCCTAACAGTATTCCAGCCCTCGTGCCTTCGGATGGCATGGCAGTTAGGCACCGAAAGGGTGCTACAGCTGAACGATATACATACTACATGGCGCACAATCTGTTTAGCAAAACCCGAGTCGAATTAGGCCCGGAATTCCAAAACCCATTCTTAACCGGTTAAAACCGCATTTCCAAGACGGTCTTGTCTAACAAACCTGCTACTCTCCAGAATGTTGACGAAAGGGGAGACTGACGTTATTTGTACCGACTCCCGTAAAACAACTGAATCTGCAGCATCCACTATTACAAAAAAGCTCTGGAAACCATAATTCTTTGTTTTCATCGCAAATATGAATTTCGCCTCGCCTTCATTGCTATATACGAACTCATACCACTAACGTTCAGAAAAATGGCACGATTTCCAGTATGACAACTTACTATCCTCGCGCGTCAGTGAGGATTCATCCATGCCCTCTAAGTCACTCGAGCTTCTTGTTTTTTACTGTAGTCAATGAAGCTGCACCCATGACACATGCGCTCCGAACGATCTACCAGAAATCGGTTGGCCCCGATTAGAAGCAATCGGAGGAGCTTCCGGTATGGATATCTAGTCTTTAAAGACTACTACAGAAACCCAGGCACTGCGAGTGAGGTAGGTGGATCGAACCATCGTGTAGTGACCTGGTATTTGTCTGTTGCTCTGAAACAGCGCATAAGTTAAGGGCGACGTCAACGGTTTGGGAAAGAGAGGAAACCGCCACGAAAGTTGCTGATCGATCACGACGGGAAAAGTCAAAGACAGCTCGCCATCGGTGATAGAACAAGACACCTGTGGCGCGAAGGCACACCCACCCTCTGAATTGCCTGCTGGTAGGTAGGTGGCAGTCTGAATGAGCGCAAGAGGCTGATTTTGCATTACAAACCCCATGAGAAATTACGGAGGTCCGAATCACCACTGAGTAAAACGTGCAAAGCCCACATCTACTATCCAGCACCAGTCAAATGAATTCCACGAACGTTCAGAGAGGTTTTCAAGTTTAAATTTCGTTAACGCAGGATTCTATGAACCAGCAAATCGGCGGAACTCACTCAATAGTATACATGCGGACCCAGAGCATCGTAGCCTGTCACCAGCATCCCTGCACCATAGGGCCGGTTACCGTATCGTTGAGTGGGGATTTGCATCTTCAAGGATATCACCGACAGGAGCCTGGAAACTGGAAGCGGCTCGTCGTACGCCCAGCGGTTTTCAGCGCATTCCCGGCGCATCATTCGACTCAACATACGTCCATCAGCAGTCAGTCCCGCTATAGCAACTCCAACATGGTCATCTATCGTTACTATTTTTTCCTGATATGAAGATAACTCGGACGGTGCTCGTTTGAGCGCGACAATCAATGCGTGGTCCTGATTTTTCAAAGCGATAGCGGCCGATCCCTGTTTAACCGCCTCCATTGCATACTCAATCTGATGAATGCGACCCTGCGGACTCCAAACGGTAACGTCATGATCATACTGGTTGCGGAACATATTTCACAAGCCCACAGAATGAAAAAACGCCTTGAGCGCACGCCAATTCGCGTGCGGTGACGCCGCGGGAAATTTTATTTATTCCAATCCATTGACGTTCCTCTAGGTTGGTCGGGTCGGCGCCGGATTATACGAAGGATGTGAATTATCCAACGGAATGCGAACTGATTATGAACGCAATACGTGAAGGCGTTGAAAAGTGTGAAAATATCATTGCACGTAAAAACGTTAGATGAGTTGTGCATGATCCATCAACCNAAGGCACACCCACCCTCTGAATTGCCTGCTGGTAGGTAGGTGGCAGTCTGAATGAGCGCAAGAGGCTGATTTTGCATTACAAACCCCATGAGAAATTACGGAGGTCCGAATCACCACTGAGTAAAACGTGCAAAGCCCACATCTACTATCCAGCACCAGTCAAATGAATTCCACGAACGTTCAGAGAGGTTTTCAAGTTTAAATTTCGTTAACGCAGGATTCTATGAACCAGCAAATCGGCGGAACTCACCAAATAGTATACATGCGGACCCAGAGCATCGTAGCCTGTCACCAGCATCCCTGCACCATAGGGCCGGTTACCGTATCGTTGAGTGGGGATTTGCATCTTCAAGGATATCACCGACAGGAGCCTGGAAACTGGAAGCGGCTCGTCGTACGCCCAGCGGTTTTCAGCGCATTCCCGGCGCATCATTCGACTCAACATACGTCCATCAGCAGTCAGTCCCGCTATAGCAACTCCAACATGGTCATCTATCGTTACTATTTTTTCCTGATATGAAGATAACTCGGACGGTGCTCGTTTGAGCGCGACAATCAATGCGTGGTCCTGATTTTTCAAAGCGATAGCGGCCGATCCCTGTTTAACCGCCTCCATTGCATACTCAATCTGATGAATGCGACCCTGCGGACTCCAAACGGTAACGTCATGATCATACTGGTTGCGGAACATATTTCACAAGCCCACGGAACGAACAAACGCCTTGAGCCCACGCTGCGGAAAATTTTCTCTATTCCAATTGGTTGACGTTCCTCCCGGTTGGTCGGATCGGCACCGGATTACACGAAGGATGTGAATTATCTAACGGAATGCGAAAGGATTATTAACGGAATGCGTGAAAACGCTGAAAAATGTGAAAATTTCATTGTACGAATAAACATTAGATGAGCTGTGTATGATCCACCGGGGGTAAGAGCTTCCAGTCAGTTCGTAGTCAGCTGAGTTGCAATTAACTGGACCATTCTATGTTTTGTGGCGCGTAAAACACATCCCGTGGCATGGAAAAAGGTTATGTAGTACATGTGACTGAAAGTCTTCGGAAGGTAGTAGGTGGGGGGAACACAGGCATCATTTTCAAACTACTCATCAGCAACATTCATTTATTCCGCCCATAGTAAAATTGAAAATATTATTGTTTAAGCTTAGGGGGACAGCTACGCGGTTCAGTCTTTCTATATTGCTAATCCTTGTTACATCCAGTACGGTCTACCGCAAAACTGAGATGAAAATGGACTAAAAATTAAGGGAGAAGATAAGCGGTAAGCAAGCCCGTATTTTCACCTCCATTTATTACATCAAACCCCATCACGTTCCGGATGCAGCAGTCGCACAGGTCAATTGTCGAGTCTAATTAATCGCGCTACTAAAGCATTCTGCCCGAACACTGACTGAGTGGCAAAATCCATTCAAGGCGAAACCAACAAATCATGTTCCTGACTTGGGCGTACGCTTGAAAGCCAAATTAGCCTAGTCACGAAAATCGAATAACCGCAAAATTCTTAGTTCGGGGCAGGACAGGGGCTCAGTACTGAGGCTCAGATCCTAGCAGTGGGAGGATTTTTATACCGGGTAACAATACCGAAAGGAACAGTTGCTTCTGTTGCCTTCAGTCGAAGTAGAATGGTCTAAATTTTCCCCGACGTGTGAACCCGTTTCCCTCAATAGCTGAAGCCGCACTAATCCAAATTTAATGCATCGAGTTGCAAAAGTGTATCAGTCGTTGTCTGTCTCAGCCACTAATATCGCAAAGCAAATACTCGTTTTTGCTTTTCCAATCACTCCTTTATTATCCTATATGACCTATCCCTTTAAAAGATTTTAACTTTTCAGCAACAACAAGCTTGCTGCCGCAAGATTTATCCCAATAATTAGAAATAAAACGAAATTAATTTCTAACGAACTATGCCCCTTCTGAATCCCAAATTTTACGGAGATTTAGTGAAATCCGGTTGCAACTTTCGGTTACGATGCCCATAGTAGTCGAACCTTCAAGGTCACTAACAGTGGACGGCTCGCATGTGATTACCAGTTTACGAGATGAGGAACGAAATCAAGTCTTGGAATTTTTTGACGTCCCGCGATGTTCCTTAAGTGGGGAAAACATCTGCGGAATATTCCATGTATATTCTGTTCAGTCGGATTGTTGTGTGTTACACTCGCCAGGCGTAACAAATCATATTACTCTGCTCGCCGAATTTTGGCAAAGTACTGCTTTTGAGAAGCTCGCCTTGCATTCAGTGTAATAATCCAAGAAAACTTGGTTCACTGTGCAATAGAGGTGCGTCTCTGCGGTTGAGCCCGATTCTCCAATTTGAGAACTGGACAGGACACAAAGCATTGTCTTCAGATACCTGCGTGTGACTTACCATTATTCCGGTGATTGGTGTTTACTGCTGGAAAGCCTGGCATCACTTGGCTGGATTACGTCATAAATCGCAATGACGGTGCTGGCGGTAAAGGCTGACCGATTTCCTTCATCACGATAATGGCATGCACTGTCACCCATCTTGGCCACTTATTGTAACTGCTGAGCTTAACAAGGCCTTAACTATTCATGATAGCCTAATGCGATGGCTAACGACGGCCCATCGCCATCATTAAATTATACGTTTTGGCTCGCCTCATGAATTTATCACAGTTGTCAGCCTGATATACACGCGCTTCACCGATTATGATGCCACATATTTCCGTGATAGCCTAATCCAAAGGCCAACTGAGGTCCTTGATCAACATAACCATGTGCGTCGTCGCCCCACCGTGCCCGGGCTTGAAAATCATAGAACCAACTTAGACTAAACGTTTCTATTTATTCAGTGTACTGGCACAATTATAATGAGTAGTCACTCGGTTTCTTTTTTCCGTGGACAACTTTCACTCGACGATAAATCCCAAATGGAAAATGTGTATTCTATTTGGTCTCTTTTTAAACTTCGGTGCAATTTTCACGTGCCTAACAGTTATGAAAGCAAACTTCCTAATTGCGCTGTTAGATCAAGAGGAATATAGGACCTAACGCGTCTTCGGATGTGTACCCAGGGGTGTGTCCGCCATGTGGTTTCTGGCTTCTACGAACTGATCGTTCGTGTTAACGTATTGCCACCTGCCTTCACTTACACAATCACGTTCGAGCTATCAGATTACTTGAGCGACCAAATCAGCCACTGTCGATATGATTTACCTGCATCTGGCGATGCTTGGGGCTTGACTGGGAGCTGCCAGATTCATTCCGTGTCACTAAGCCAGGGACAACTATCATTCAACCCTCACCCACATGTCTTACACAGACACACACTCAAGAATCCTGCCCCAGTCGTCTAGGCGGTCGATGGACCTTAACGCCTCATCATCCATCCCTTTAATGCATCTTGTCTGCCCACCCGAGTTTGTTTCACATGGTCGAGATTTTCAGCCATTACACATTCCTGGATATTCAATAACTCCTTCCGTACCACATCCTCCTCCTCAGCATACACTGCCCCCCACGGTGGGAAGGACTGTACTTTTGACAGCACTCTCATATACTGCATTTGCTCCCCCCAAATGCCTTCTCCAATTCATGCTGAGCCTCATAGCTTGCCTTCTGCAGTGGAGAAAACAGAGAACTAAAAAAGCGGCATTTCCTTGAACGCCTGTGCCGCCGGCTTAAGCCAGCACCCGGCGTAACGTATATCCCGGAAAATCCTCCTATGAACCCAAAACATCAATCGCATCGAAGTGACAATTCAATTGCGTGTAAACGGACTCACTGAAAGCACGTGGTGTTGCGCCTCCGAAACGATTAGATTTGCAAAGCCTGTTCACTTTCCCTTAATTTGTAACTCTACCATACTTTCACTTGACCGTTCAAACATCCGATGCTTGTGGCACTCTTCTCCGACCCTTGGTCCATGCGTGCTTTAAAATACCAATTCCTTTAGGCCTACACAATTTCTGGGACTAGTTAACACCTCTTTCAACGGCATGCAATATGAGAATGTTATCTGCGTGCCAAGTGTGCACGATACTGTTCGCTGTTTCCTCCTGACCGGTAACTTGTCTTCCCCTGTAGCTCCCTAATCTGTTTCCTGAACGAGCGTTGCCTAACGGTTTCAAAGGTTGACTGCGTTACATTCCCAACCCCGATTCGCTTTCCAACGAAATGCTTGTCAGCTAGCCACCTGTTAAACGGGATTACCTCAAAGTCGTGTATGGTTCGACCGCGGATTTAGGAACCGTCTAATCACACCCCGGTTTCTTCTTAAGCAGATTTGTGAACGACAGCACAGCTATCTATCACACTATTTGTGCGCTATTTAGCTAATTCACTTCCCTCACATCCGTGCATTGTCCCACCCATTCGCATTCCCCACTGTGTGCACCGGTTTCTTGATTATCGCTTGGAAAATTGAACAGTCGCCTTACTACAATTACTCGAGGCGTCCAGCTATTTTGGGCCCCGATCCAACCTACAACCTCTAGCATACCTTCTTGTCACATTTTCCCTCTTTGATTCCCAAATAAAGCATGACTGTCTTAGCGTTCCGTTTAGATGGCAGCAGAAAAAACATTGTGCCCTCGATGGACACAAGAACGAACTTGGTTCAAGCTGGCCTAAATTCGTCACGATTCCCATGCCGATCTTGAAGTAATCTGACAGTCCAAACTGAGTTACTGAATATGTTCACGTATGGCGCCGTTTGCGGACCCGTGAACAATGTCGTGACAATGATACCACGACTGCCATACGCAGTCTGGTAGAACTGCCCGTCGTTCATCACATCTCACTGTTCCCAAACCCTACCACCATTCTGAGGTATCAGTGGTAAAAAACCTGAAGACACCTGACATCATCCGTCCGCAGAGGACATGTTTCGCAGCCATGCAACAACACAGCCCTTACTGTGGTACGGTACACGTTACCGTTAAGACTCAGTGATGCCTTTTTGACGCCGCAAGTGACGCGAAACCTTCTTCGCGGCCCAGGGTCTTTTAGATTCTTCAAGCTGACTCCTTCAGGCATATTTCAGTCGGAGGTCATGCAACTTCCGAGGTATGTAAAATTCTCCACAACCTTCTTAGATTCCCCTGGAATGGCAAGGGGTGCGTTAAGAAACTGCATGTTATGAAGCATGGCTTCGCAATTCGATGATACCGGGCTAAAAAGGGTATGACGATGGCCAGCGTATTCAACAAGGTATGTGGTTCGCCTTGATCCTCAAATATGAAGGCGATGTCACCTGCGCACTTTAGCTTAACAGGGGTCGCATTAGCAACGATTTACATAAATGAGTTTTGGCGACCTTGCACCAATCACCTCATTATTTCATTGACGGCAAAGTTGAACAAGGACGGATAGATTGAACATCCTTGTCGGATTACACTTCGGTGGGAAAGCTTTAACGGAGATCGGCATACACGCTGATTCAACCAGAAGTATGTAAGTGTGGGGATCGGATTAGATTCACAAACCTCCGTGGCGTCCATTATTGAGCGAGTGTATGTGAGAGCACTGACCGGTCGACAGAGTCAAACCCTCCTTAAGTAAAGGAACTTTAAGATTGTGAGTCATCTTTACCTATGGCATCGCTCTAACAGCTGACGAAGTGTTACCTATGGGGTGCCGCGAACTAGATGCACACCCAAAATTTCTCTGAAACGGTGGTTCGAAATAGGAAAGTTTCAACGTAAAGTTTTAGCGTTTGATGGTGCTTAATTGGGAGCTTA